GTATATTAAGTGGTTTCTGGAGTTTTCTTATCATCCTTATCAAATCATACATTCTTAAACTCGCATGTAGTTTTCCATTAGTCACTGTAGAATATGAGGTACTATAAAACTAAATCTTCCTCATATGCTTTTTACACTATAAACATCAAAACTGTCATCCACTGCTTAAAACTTATACATTATTTCTAAGGCAGGACTTTCAAGCACCTATTGGTTGCTCTATACATTTTCATTTTATATCATTCATGGTATCTTTCATATAGCTAACAGCCAATAGGTGGCAGCATCATCTAATACCTGTGAATTCACCTGGTTAATGGGGTCAAAGTGATATACATGTGAATTAAGTTTATGTATATTACTGTCATCGGCTTAAATGCACATATATAAAACCTCAAGGTAGGTAGAGTAGTGACTCAGAGGGAAAACTCCACACACACACACACACACACACACACACACACACACACACACACACACACACACACAGATACATGTATAACTTCAGGTAAATAGAGAACGGGAAGTAAATCACACACACACACACGCACACACATATATACATATGCATTAAATTTTGGGGTACACTGAAAACAAAGAGTACATCGAAGCACGACTTACGTGAGGATGGCGTCTTCTTCTCTGCCCCAGAGCCTGGTCCAAGCAGACTAGAGATTTGCTCTCGCATGTAGACTGCCGTAGACGGCCGTTTTCGCTTCCCTACACACGGCTCCTCCAACACGTCCAGACACTGTTTGTGAATGTCGCACTTGCAGTCTGAAACGTACACACCAGGAGATCAAGTTGACTGGTAAGATAAAGCGAGGTTTGCCCTCTGACTCATGACTTATGTTATTGACATCAATTAAAGAAAACTACAACATTAAACAAAGAACAAATAGAAATCCACACACAAACAAGCTATGCAAAAGGCATGGGCATATCTTACAGAACAACTACACATATAATAATATAATAAGAAGACAAAGTAATTTTCCAGTTCTTAAATGAATATTTTTCCAATCTGTTGCTGTAACATCACTACATTTACTTTACTTTGTTTTCATGTCGTAAAGATATGTTACATATTCCACATAATAGCCATGGCAATAATAATGATTTGTCACCAACAAACACAAAGTGACAATATCTACATTTGAATATATAAATTACAGTACCTTTACACTGGTATCCTTGGTATCCTATCCCCCAGATGATGTTATGGCAGTACACACAGAAGGTGGTTTGACTATAATGCTGTGGCATAAAGCTGTGACCACGGACAGAGAAGACCTGGAATGAGAAAACATCATCAATCAGTGCTCCTATTGCCAAGCATCTGTTCTTGCCCAGATAATAGCTGGAGTCAGGGGGATTCCACCATCAGCTGAGACACTCAATCAATCTTCCGGGAACTCTGAAAGTTGTTTCTGCCTGATAAGTGAGGGACTAAGATGACCGTCTTTCTAGAAAACGCCTAGAGTTCCTCGGTGAAACTCAACATCTCTTGACATTCTAAATCCCACAAATGTGCACATACAAAAAACTTGTAGACAAACTCATGTGTACACACACACACACGTCACACACACACACACACACACACACACACACACCTGTTCACACATACACACACACACACACCTGTTCACACATACACACACATGCACACCATACATTCTGAAATCTAAGCCTTACAAGTTTTGTGGCTAAACTTGGTACTACTCTTAATTCTGTTGACATCCTTCTGAACTATCTCTAATTGTAATTCTTATGTCAACTGCAGTTCCTCCAGGCCATAGTAATAAAATAATCATAACCCTGAAGTGCTGCTCACAAGCTTAGATCAGTTTTCATTTTTAATACTTTTGACCCTCAAGTAGTGAATAATTGCTGTGGTAATCATTACAGAAAAATCTTATGTGAAAACACTACCTCCTTGAATATTAGGAACCCTACTGAGAAACCATAAATCATAGCTCATAATCTCAAGCTGCCATCATGAATATTTTAACCCAATTATTAGCAGAAAACAACATTATCATAAAGTCAAAAGTTCTTTGGAAATTGACACTTATAGGTAATTTTTTGTACCAAAGGAAATTTTTTCTAGAGAAGAAAAGCAGTTTTCTAATATTCGAGGATCAGTGCTCAACCCGTCCCTGCACTTGGATTTGTTGTCTTAAACTCATAACAATTCTGCCTAATAATGAATGTATCTCATTCCTAATACTGGGCTCATTCCGATGTCGTCAAGGGGCCAGTTTGACAAAATTAAAAGTTGGCTGAAACTTCTATAATTTATCTAATTGGATTACTACTCAATTTTCTTGGTTCAAATTAGATCAAATTTTTTTGACAAAGTTTAGTTTAGGCTAATTCTCTTTATATTTTTAGCGCAATGTTCTCAACATATAAAACAACACACGCACCTTCTTCACATTTTTCTTGAGACCCATAAAACTTGTGAACCTCTTGTCTTTCGCCACAAAGCTTGGACACCTCTCCAGGACGTTGGATGTCTGGCCGACCTTGGTGATCCCAACTGACCGCAGGAAGGTGGTCAGCGCTGAGGCCATGGCCTGGGCCCTGTCCTGACGGTCATCTCTGAAAATGACCAACAGCCATTCACTAGTGATCATCATCACAATATTCTGAAGGCATATGACTATGAGATCAAACAGATCAAATGGAAATTAGAAAGAATGAAAATTCAGAATTAAACCAATGCAACACTGCCCCCCCCCCCCTCCACGTGTTCAGTGCTTCATACTTACACCAATTTCTCCAGATGAGGTACCATAAATAACACTAACACCCCCTTCCATGTGTTTAGTGCTTCATACTTACACCAATCTCTCCAGATGAGGTGCCAGGTATTTTTCAGCAATCTTCAGTTCATTGTTTCTGTCCATGTATTCATCTTTCAGTTCATGAGCACCATAGATACTGCTCAAACCTGAGGAATTGCAATGAACGCACTTCAATATACTATCAAATCCAGAATTGGCATATTATATACCTCTGACAGTTTTTTTTCTCCCTTTTTTATACGTGAAAGTCCTCCAAGAAATGTTATTATGTGACACGTGTAATTTCCATATCAAGTATCGTATTATTTTGAATAATCTTCAATTAGCAACTACACGGCCTCTTTAGCTCACAAAAGATATCCATTTCATATGCCAAAGGAACCAAGTTTCTCTGGAATTTTCTATCAGTTGCTATATTAAGACATACACGTCATTGGAGGGTTCCCAAAGCGTGACTTACAATGAACCTGATACAAACTGATGTATAAGAGAAACAAAATTAATAATTCCAAACATTACTACATATTGTATTTGGAACTAGGACTAAATGTCATATCTGCTTTTTTTTTTTTTTTTTTTTAAAGAAAAACCCACCCAGGTCTCCCGTTCTCCTGAAATCAGCTAGCAATTCTCGTATGTCATTCTGGGCTACATCTCTAGGTTTGTTGAAAATATTCCGTAGCTGCTCCTCCGTTCCTCGTTCTAGAACTTTGTCTGCTGCTAGGATGACGTTTTCCTCAATATTGAGTTTTAAAGGCTGTAAAATATAACATATATAGCAGCATTGTTATGACATATTTGCACAAGTGAAAACATAGCACCTTGCAAGTTGACCTCAATCAAGTGCTAAAACGAAACCATGCTCGAAAAGTCCTATTACAGGAAATTGTGAAATGAAAATTGCATTTAAGTCTTAGCTAGTCAAGTCAGCATCATGTTTTGGTTTCATATAAACTTTTATGTTTGTATATTATTTTTTCAAACACAAAGTGAACATCAGCTCTAAACCACATCAGATGCTCAAGAAAATGCTTTATCACCTAAGGATAAACCAAGAAGGGCATCAGAGGGCCCATATACAAAATTTTCACTCAAAGGACAGAAGAGTAATGGGTGGAATTATATATATGTGTGTGTGTGTGTGTGGGGTGGGGGTGGGGGGGGGGGGAGAGTGTCACAATCTGTCTCATTTCTAGGACTGTTATAATGGACAGTTCTCACTAGATTGTTCACTATACACTATCTAGCATCTTCAGGGTGACTGACAAAGTCCTAAGGTTGGGAAAGCTCTTACCGGTATGTTTCCAATTACTGCATAGAAATTGAACAGTTTCAAAACTTCAGTACTATAATATATTTGTTTATTGTGGTTATTAATTTTCACTTACAGCGTTTGGTACTAAGAATGTTGAATGGATCTCATATGCCCACTTCTTCATTTCTTTGGCATTCCCTGTCTGCTGCTGATAGCTGTCAGTAACAAGGTAGAAGAACTGAAACAAATGATGTGCACCATTAAAAACAACTCATGCTTTGAAATAGATTCGGAATAGCTCTTCAGCAAGAAAAGCACCATTTAGTCACATGTATATTTTACAACAGTCAACTTCAAATGCGCACCTCCAATAATTTACAAAGGACTAAGTTTAATGGGTGCGATGATTCACAGCATCGAACTTGGCATAAGTCTTCTAGCAATGTGCAACAAAACCAAATTATCATTTCTTAAAATAATAATGTGAAATAGTCATTCTTTTCTTTGGTATTTGCTGAAATTTACAGACATTGACTGAAATTAATCTTTGGGTAACTTGAGCAAATTTTCTATTGCCGAAGTGTTCACGTCATGAGGAGTCTGCAATATATTGCATCACTTACCAAAGGGGACGGGTCACTGTTTGATATCAGATAATGTAGGAACACAGCTAAGTGGGCCGGTTTGTTCTTCAACACATTCAGGTCGCTGAATGGACCCTGCTGCTCTCTTGGCTATGGAGGAAAGAAAAGGAGAACAGTAAGCATCCTCATCATATATTCAACTTTTCTGCCCACCGCGTCCTCACCTATGAATGAAGAGCTCAAAAGCATATTTAATTAACTCTGTGAGAGCCATGGAGGTTGTGAAAGCATTTATATCTTTAAAATGTGTTGTTAAATGTGTTCTATTTTTGTTAAAAAAGGTCCGCTTTGCTTGACAACAGCATTAAAACAAAGCTATTAACCAAAATCATCTACAACAGAGAAAAACTATGTTTTGAAGCAATAAGTAAATTTAAGCACTGTGCTTTCAAGTAAGATCAATCTGAAAACACATCAGAGATATAAAAGCAGATAAATCTTTTCATTCCTTGACATTCACAATATTCCACAAAATGCTGCATCCTATCCAGCATCTGTGGTACAACATTTTGTTAAGACTTGTACATAATAGAAACAATACCAATGTGCAGGTCTTTTAAAAAAGTGCATTTCAGATAGCAGTGCAACAGTTTGAACTCCAGGAGAGAGAACAGGTGGTCGATAAGAGCAAAAATGAGAGAAAAGCGCTCTGAAAAGATAACCTAGCTGTTACTAACAGTAATGGTTGACAAATTGTTGAAGTTGCACTTTAAGTATGAGCTTCCTCATGAAATTACAGCTAGTTCAAGCCAGTCAGCAATGCCAAAGAACAACATTTTGAGCAGCCAGCAATGCTGAGGTCAATTAAAAACCTGAAAGAAGATTGACCCGTCATGCAAAAAGGTCTTTGGAGAATTAATTCATAATGGGTGTAATTACCAGCAATGTGCAACGAAAGAAAATGTCTTTCAAATATCAACTGTAGAAACAAGTTTTTTATGTCAGGTGATTGCCAATAGGTGATTACCAAACAGTGTGGCAAAATTATGTTAACTTAATTTAAATTTTCACATTAGCTCTGCTGACCATTTCAAAACGGTCACAGATCAAGAGAGAGAGAGAGAGATCAAGAGAAAAAGAGAGTTTAGTGAAGTTAGCTTGCTAGTTTGGATTAGCCCAGCTTCCTCTTTGGAGAAAAATGAAAGCAGAAGAGGGAAAAGGGGTTACTGCATGTGATGTTTTTCCCTTCTCCCACAGCTTTTGGCAGATGCCATACTGTTTAGGCGATGTTTATGGGAAAACCAGGTTTACAGAGCTCTGGAGGTAGCAGCAGCCCTGAACTTGCCAGCATGGCTGAGCTGATGAATGAAGTACCACTAAAACTGGAGAGCCGTGTCTCCTAGAATTTCTATGTGAAAATCTGTAAACCATGTTTTCAAACAACCATAAGGGCCTAACCATCTAAGTACATGCTATGTTGAGTGACTGTTAAAGAAATGACATTATCTGTTGGATGGCTACTCCTAGGAGCAGAAGATGAGGTGACAAGGAAAGAAGAGCTCACAAAGCAATATTTTTGGTACACCCACATCCCAAATTAGACCCAAATAAATGATAAATTGGCCAAAGAGTTTGAGATGGTTTATATCATCTTATTAAACAAAAGAAAAATGCTTTCAGATAATGGCATGTTTCATGTTGATGTTCCCATTTACTGTGAGATTGCCTCGTAGCCCATATTCACAACCAAATCTAACAAATCGGACTTGCAGACTAACAAATCTATGGATCTAATATGGCTGGTCCACTTGAAGCTTGCCACGTACTCCCCGAGGGGAACTTCTTCAGTGTCTATTAAGAGATGATGCGGCAAGCTTTCAAATGGTTTGGCCATATTTGATCTGCAGATCTTCTAGTCAGACGATCAACTTGTTCAAAATGCACCCAGAGCTTTCTATGCATGGCAGTATAAATCCAACAGATCATGGCAAAGCCTCAAGCATTATATCATTAATGAATTAAATGAAAAGTTAGAACACAGTTTGTCATTTCAAACAACCTGATACAGGTGTGGCCTGGTTTCCAATGTACTCAGTATGTGAAAGGCATTGCGCTCTTCAAGCTGGGAGGGAAGAAATAAACACAGAACAATGAGTCAGCAAATTTGATGGTGTTGTGGAGTGATCAAAGATGCATATTCGCACTGTGTTGAAATCTAGTGAGATCTTGTGGCACCTGCGACTATCTCTGTCAGTATATAATCAACTCCCAAACAACAGTTTGGAATCTTTGACTATATAAACAAGATAGCCTCCATAATTTTTTGTGACTAAAACTTCAAGTCACAATACATATGATATATTCCTTTAACAATTAATACATGGTTTAAGAATGGGTTTTATTTTACGGTTAGCTTAAAGCTCTATGTTCTCAACTTTTTGACCCACATTAACTGGACAAAACAACAGACACAAGCACATCTTGGTGATAATACAACTTCAGAGACATGCAAAAACACTTGTGATCATACAATATTGATAAAATAGGTTCCTGAAAGGGTTCTAGTTATCATAGAAAATTATGGCCAATGGATTATCATTTGGTTCATTTTTACTACTATAACTGAATTTTACTTGTTTAAAAGCTAATTTGACACAAATTAAGTAAATTTTAAACAAAAAAATATTAGAATTTGCATTGAAATTAATTACACCAGCTAGTGAGAGCCAAAGGACACCTTGTTCACATGCAGGATTCAAGTTTGAGTTGCACGTGAAATAACACAAAATAAGTGACATATAAAATTAACATATACATTTAGCACACACACGCACAAACATGCGAATGAAGTTTACAACTTACATGGTCATCATCTGATGTGAAGTCATCATCCTCAGCACACATGATGTTAGTCTGCTGCGGACGAAATGCTGCATTAATGGGCAAGCCCCGTTCTGGCGGTGGGGACGAGCTCGGCGTCATCACCTTCATGTCCTGAAAAACGTGAAGATACACAGTCCATTACTCCTGACATTCTTCCCATCTGATGTCATGAAATATGTACACATAACTATGTGTCTTCTTTTCATGGGTAATCCAAATATAGGACTGCACAATCATCATGACAATGTGTGCTACATATTTTTGGTGAGAAAAAGAATACATGGCCATTCTGATGCAAAGTGTTGGGATGTCTACATTTTAATGGGTGCAGCTCTCGACTTGAGATCAAAGCAACACTTTGTTCCTGGATGCTACAGGAGGAGGAGTTTAAATAGAATGTGAATGTGTCAACTTGATATTTTAAATTCAACTACACTAAACACTAAGAATTTGGATAATGACGATTTAAGGCAAAATAGTTTGGTTTTGACTAAAATGCTTTTTTTTAATAACAACAAAGGTAAATAAAGATCTATGGATAAGAACCAAAAATGCCACCTTTGTTACTAACTTGTAATTTACTCATATGCACAGAAGAATATCTGCAATTTTTATTCATATTCTATTTATTCTCTCTATGAGATACAATGGTGCTTTTATGGTACCCATTCTATTAAAAAAAAAGACAATTTTCTTTTTTTTATTTTCAGCAAAGACTGTAAATTGGTGATAATGCACTCTAACGCATAGGGCCACCAAATAAGTTGAAGCTGAGGGTGAATATCCGTATACGTAGAATTCACTGGTCTTTTTCTTTTTTAATTTCCACTTGACATACAGAACTCCTCTCGGCACAGTGGTGTTCTGTAAACACTAGGAGCACCCTACTTCATTACAAACCAAATATTGACTATCTGTTCCTCACACCACAACAGTTTTATACACCTGGGATAGGACCTGGGGCCTCGAACTCTGTATTTAAAACACGAACCATGATAATGGCCCTGTATAAATTAACACCTGAATGAACTGGGCCCTGACTCTGCATGTGGTGTAATAAAACAAAATCTGATGTGTCTCTGTATACTAAAGAAAACCCTTGCTGTAGGCTCAATTCATGGCTTCATGGCCACTATGCACATGTCATCTTCACAGCTCCCTGTTAAATATAAGACAATGTTTATAATACAATTAGGCAACAAACACTCCAGGTAAAAATACCTGAAATCCTGGATTATATCTCTTCACAACTAAAGGTAGGACGAGACAATCAACAAAATGCCCAATTCATGGTACACTTTCTCTTTACTGCAGAGTACCAAGGATTATTAATTGTACATAATTAGTATATCAAAGTAAAAACAAATTCAAAAATAAAATATCAGGTATAAGGCTAAAATGGGTCCCTTAGAGATACCACAGAGTCTGCAGAGAGTGCAGCCACCATATGGCCAATTCCATGTAAGCACCTCCTTAATTCTCTTACAGCACATTGCCACAAGACAGCCCAGCAAAATAGATCTAGAATTCCTTCTAGTATACCCATAATTTAATGTAGGCATGAATCATTGCCAGAACACCCTTAATTCTTTTACAGCACATAGCCACAGTGTAACCAAGTTAAACAGATGAAGAAAGGGTTCTAATATATGTCTAGTTTCAGGTAGGTATAAATCACTGTGAGTGCCTCCTTGATTTCCAATTCATCAGCTCCCAGACTGACGGCAATATCAGTGGATGGAGAGCCAGGACCATATGTCTTCTGGCCAAGGAGATGAGTCAAGAACATAAACCATGGTCAAAACACTACGAGTTCTCTCTCTCTCTCTCTGTGTGTGAGAGAGAGAGAGAGAGAGAGAGAGAGAGAGAGAG